ATATATATATATACACACATATACATTTTCCTGCTGCAGGAGTGAAGGATCCTCGTCTCTACTCCTGTCCGATCTACAAGAAACCGTCCAGGACAGACGTCAACTACATCGCAGCGGTGGATCTGAAAACTGCGCGCCCTGCTGATTACTGGATCCTCCGGGGTGTGGCTCTGCTCTGTGACATCAAGTGACCACGTCATAATAACACCCGGCTGACTGTCACCAGGACCACATTATACACGTAAACAGGAAACACTCCCAAACACTCTCACGGCCTTAGAAAGTCCCTGCATTCACGACCAAAATAAGGAATTTTAAATATTTTCTCTCAGTGACTCACATGAAAAGGTTTTGGAAGAACATACACTGAAAAAAACTAAACTCAAATGGAATTCTAATAGTAAGGGTGTGCCAAAATATCGATACTATGATACATCGCAATATTTCGTCTTGGCGGTACGTTATCGATATACTGGCGACAAATATCCAAACAATAAACATACACTCGTTCTAAATAGATTCGCTCACAAAAACCTGCTGCGTTTTTTCAAACGTCCACATGATGGCGCCAGAGACCATGGCGCTAGAGGGCGCGAGCGCAGAAACGTCTGGATTTACATATGCAGGGACCCCATTTGTACTGCGGTACTACGGTTATGATTGTTTGGAGTTTGTGGCAGACAGATATTTTCTCCCGGGGCGGGGGTGTTCTCTAAATTCTGAATGTCTTCAGTGACGATGTATCATGGACAAAATGTATCGCAATATATTGATCACTGCAGAATTTATGTATTGTGATATTATCGCAATCATAGCCCAAATATCGTAATGGTATTGTATCCAAAGGTACCTAGCGATACCCAGCCCTACATATTAGTATCTTATTGTTATATATAAATGAATACCAATTTGTAATGTAGGGCTAGGACTGTACAGCTGATGTTTTGTGTTCTCGTCATGCTTGCTGTTAGGACTAAATATAATTGATGTTTTTTCTCCGTCCCAAAATTAAACCACTAAAAACAGAATAAAACTAAAAGCACATCACATCACGAAAAAGAAAACCCATTCAGATTTGTTTTTTAATTCAGAGGCAAATTGTAGAGAAAAGTGTGTTGGTATAACATATTTGGTCTAAACATTTAAATCAGAGTTGCCAAATACAGTCTCATAGGTGAAAGTACAATTAGCGCACATTCTAAAGTTTTATTCAGAGAAAGAAGAACCTGTTAGGCATCCATAATTGCCACCAAAGTCACCATAAATGTGAGAAATTCATTGTAGTCGACCACATTGTCCTTGTCCTGGTCCAGCGTGTCGAAGAAGTCGTCCAATTCCTTTTTGTTGGCCTTTTGGGAGAAAATCAGACCGAGATGTAATAAAGCTGCAGCAAATACAACAGAAGAATACAGACAGGGAAGGGAGGGGGGAGTTGTCGTGTGTGACGGTGGTTTGTCTTCCCACTCACCGATCCTGTAATGCCAAACTCCTCACGCAGCAGTTCACTAAGTTCCCTTTTGCTGAGACTCCTGCCGTCTCCGTCTTTTCCGGCATATTGAGCAAAGATGCCCTTGATGGATCCCAACAACTGCAGGAGTTTGGCCATGTTGGCTGGGAACAGAAAGAAGCATCTACAGCGTTAACACATTGTAGCAGAAGTGAAAGGGGAACAATAAAAAAGGAAAAATGAAAGTTGATCTCTAACCAGAGAGACCTGAAGGCTTTCATTATCCTGTTCTTCATTCAATTTCGTACTTCTGCCTTTTTTGTTTCTACTGTTCTCTTCCTCTCTGCACTCTCTTCATCATTTCATTCCTCCCTTTCCTTTTCTCTTTTCTTCCT